GGATAGATAGATAGATAGATAGATAGATAGATAGATAGATAGATAGATAGATAGATAGATGATAGATAGATAGATGATGGATGGATGATAAGGAGATAGATAATGATAGATGATAGAGAGGTAATAGATAGATAGATAGATAGATAGATAGATAGATAGATAGATAGATAGATAATAAAGAGATAGAAAATGATAAATGATAGGTAAGTAGACAGATGATAGGCAATTCTAAAACACTGCCAAAAATAATTAATTTTAGAAACAGAATGTATTTAAGTCATAAACACATGTGCAGAGTGATTGAAATCCTCACGGATTATTTTTTAGCACTCACAACATGTCAGGTTGATATTTTAAAATGCCATTTTTCAAAAAAATAGTATTTAAAAACCACCCAATATGGTCTTTATTGAACTTTTACTATGAATTTAATAAGAAGCTCTCTGTACGTCTTTTGCCAAAAGTATTAAAAACTTGGTTCTTATGACATTCCTTTATTTATTTTCTTCTAGTAAAAGTAATGTGAAGCTTTTGTTCAACTGAGAGAAAGTGAGATATTCATACGAACTGGGCCAAAATGAAAAGTGATATTGACAAGAACTTAGGCTCTTGCCCCAAATCCTGATAAATTCTCCTTATTCAAAAATGTTCAGTGTCTTTCTCTCCAGAACATGATCCAAAATTCCTAGCTGTGTCTTTAATGCCTCCAATATTTTATCCTCCAACTACCCCTGGATCCTTATCTCCAACCATGAGCAAGTGCAAATTCCTATCTTAGAAAACAGGACGTGCTCAATAAAGACTGAGTGAGCGCCGTAACCACAGCGGCCGCCCTCGGTCCCCAGGAAACCCCATGAGAATTCCTACCCCTCGGCCTTTGCACACACTGTTTTTCCCCTGCTGTGTCCTTCCGTCGTCTTCTCCAGCCTCACTCCTACGGAGCTCTTTCATTATGCTTCAGGGACCTCTTCATCCCTGAGAGCCCATATTTCTGCCGTTCATTTTGGCACTTACTTTTCTGCCTTATGGAGTAGGTGGCATTTTTAAGTTAATAATTGTTAGATATTAAGACCAACTATGTCCCAAGCAATATACTAGGGACTCTCAGGTTCATAGTAACCCCCAAGGTATATATTGATATCCCCCGTTTATGGATAAGGAAAGTAAATTTTAAAGTGGTTTAACAGAAAGAAGGGGGCAGGGAGAGAGGGAAAGGAAGGGAGGGAGGGAGGGAGTGAAGGAAAGAAGGAAAGAAAAAGAGATAAAATAAAAGAAGTAAAAAGAATAGAAAAGAAAAGAAATTCATCGAACTAATTCTTAATCCAACTGGACTCACCGAGGCCCGTCGGGCTGGCGAGCTCACTGCAGCAGTCTAAAAGAGAGCTAATGAGGAGAAGCCACAGTCTGCAGGTGCGTGGGTGGGGACAGGCCGAGGGAAGAAGGTAGGATGATACTGAGGCTTCTGGCTCTAGGAATGATTATGGTGCCTCTAACCAACATCACGAACCAGGAGAAGAGATGGGCTTGGTGAGGAAGAGGACGGTCTGTTTGGAGCATCTTGTGTAGATCCTGTGCCTGTGACACCCACAGGGAGCTGCCCAGAGGCGGAGTTTCCTGGCTAAGGGCAGAATCTTTGGTGCCAAGCATCCCTGGTCTTGAATCCAAGGTCCACCACTTATTAGCTACGTGCCTTTGTGTAACTTACCTTTTAGAGTGTCGGGTTCTCATATGCTAAATAGGAACAATAATACCTACCTCGAAGAGTTGTTAGGAAGATAGAATTAAACGATTCATATGAAATGGCTAATATGAATGCCTGGCGTGTCGTAAGTACGCAGTAAATGGCATTTTTATTACTAATAACACAGAAAGTGCGGCAGCGGCTTGGAAGACATCCAAGCTGGGGACTGGTTTTAGGTATCGCTGGTGCGTGAGCAGGGGTCGAAGGCAGAAGAGTTGATGAAATGGCCGAGTGTCTAGAACGGAGATCACAACTTGGCCAGGCAGCAGACAAGCAGACAAGTGAAGCGAGTCGGTATAAGCGTATTTGCACAGTGTACGGATTGGAGGGGGCTGGAATCTCTGGGGAAACGGAGCGTGCTCCAGAGAAGGAGGCTGCTACTCGGCTTGAGATGATTGCCACCATTCCAAAATTGGGCACAGCACCTGTTTTGTTTTGTTTTATTTTGTCAAAAGGAACCAGAAATGTCCCAATGTTTAAAAATTGGCAACTAAATTCAATTTGAATACACACATAGGCCAGATGGTGGCTTATTGGCCGCCAGCCTGTGACTTCAGGAGGAGAGGAAGAACAGGGCCAATGATGAGGCCCTGAGGAAGGTTAAGGGGGTGGGCAGAGGACGGAGAGGTGAAGGAGAGCGGGGAGGGTGGAGAAAAGAGCACGAAAGAGCAGCCAGGACAGAGCTCAGAGAGCTCAGGGCAAAGGAGCATCTCCAGGAGCAGAGAGGCGCCAGCACCGTCAGAGGAGGCACCGGGGTCACGGTGGCCAACTGTGCACACAAAGCCCCCAGGATCTGGGACCTCTTCTTGACCCTGCAGGTGTAATCACTAGTAAGGAGAGGGACATATTGCTCAAAGAGGCCATTCCAGGGTGCAGAACGAGGCAAGAAGTCCTGAGGAAAAGAACGGCAGTGGTGGAATTTGATTTGAGCCAGCTTCCTGCACTGTGGGGACGACCCCCGAGGACTTCCGGCGAATGTCTTCTCAGCAGCAAAGGTGCAGCTTGGCAGCTTTACCATTCACTGGCCGTCGTCTGATGGCTGAAATCAGAGGCAGATAGGAAACCCGAAAGTTGGCCCTATCCTCCCCTCGTTGGGGAATTAGCTGATCATAATGAGGAAAAGGAAGAGAAGAATCAATAAAAAACTCCAACGCCCTCACCAGGAGTGAATTCTGAGATCTTTTATTCGTTTCCATGTAAATACCAATATTATTATTAGCCAAATTATTAATATTAATATTAATACTTTCTGAGAGCCAGGAAAGCACTAAATACAAAATTAGGGCTTAGAATAGGGGACCTACCCAGCAGGCTTAAGGACAAATTATGATTCAGATCAGGACGGGAATGCCTTAAACCAGCCCCTAAATAAAAAGTCGCTGAGTAACAATTGGTAACTGCTCTCGAAGGTCTCGCCAAGAAGGCTGAGAGAAGGCTGTTAACGTGTCCGGGAAAGAAAAGAGTCCACATAGTAAAAGAGAGGGTTATACATCTTGACTCGGCAGCCAGTACACAGACACTTATTACAGACTTTCATAGTTAGCGCCACGAGCATTAAGATCCCAAGGGATTAATTAACAACAGTGGAATGTAGAATTGAAAAACGGGAAATTATTTGTCTAAAGTTAGTCACTGAGTTAAATTCAGAATTCCAGTCTCCGGACTGCTCATTCAGTCCTTCTGTTGAACTCCGTTGTGTCCAGAGAAAAAGTTCATTATTCCTTTGAAGGAATGGCTTAGGGGGACATGCGTATTTTGATGGGTGACAGGTGAGGGGTAGGGGGGAGTGGCAGAAATATCCCCATGTGGCTGCAGGAGGCCAGCACGGGAAGAATAGGCCATGTGTACCCACAGGGAGCGGGTACCTGTGAGGGGGCCCCATGACGACAGAGACGGACAACCCACAGAACAGTCGCGCTCAGGCCTGGGACGTGCACGTCCACGTGAAACACAGCCAGAAATTCCAAACTTAAAAAGGTAAACATGTTTCCTTAAATATCATCTATAGTCATAAACATTTATGTATTAGATATCTCTCATTGAGTAATGTCAACTTTGCAGACCGTAGTCAATACAAAAGAAGTACACACATGCACACGCACACACACGCACACTCACACGCACATATTTAAATCCTCTGAGTAGTTGAGACAGACTGACAGAATATCTTTCTCGAAACGATTCGTTTAGGGCGTTATCCCGATGCCCGGTCCACACTAGGCCGTCCGTTTGTTTACCCGCAGTAATGATGATGATTATGTCAGTGCCTTGGCCACCACTTAGACATCGATGACTCTTATCTGATGCGCCACTTCTCTGAGTTCGCTTCCTTTAATTTAGCATTTATTTATGTCTCCACAACAGGTTAAAATAGAAGAGGGGGGATAGAGTTGGAGATAGACACTAAAGAGGAGGTGGAAACGGACAGGAAAAGAAAAATCCAAATGTGATCGAGGCCATTGAGCGTAGGGGCACACTGCCTTCCGTCTTTCTGGAGAGTCTGAAGATACCACTGTATCATGGCACAGTGTCATCACTGTGGTGACACAGAATCATCCAGAAAAACTGTTTGATATATTGTGCATTCTATTTAAAATGACAGGGAAACATTGGCTACCATTAAAAAGAAATTTGTCAAAAACTTTGAGAGCTTACAAATCATCTAGAAATTTGACTTACGAAAAATTTCATTTGTCCACAATGCCATGTAAATCTGATACATCAAGAGGGACATTGAAACTGAAAATAAGGGGGTCTTATTCCTTTGAAAGCATTGAAAGTTGAATCCTCTAGGCTCAATTATCATTGTGGGACCCTACA